GAAGGAAACACGGCTTCACTTAGTTATTATTCCCCTTATGGAAATAACTTTGAGAAAACAGAAACAGGAAAACAAACGCAGATCGACTGATTACGACTTTGCGCCTGTCTCAGGTTTCAGCCTTGTCCACGGCTTCGGCTTTCCTCCCGAACACCGGAAAACCAGTAACCCAGCCGGACGAGTCCACGGCCTCAGCCTTCTTGCCGAAGACATGGAAATGAAAAACTGGAAAAAGGAAGTTGTCGCCACCGGACGAGTAGTCCACGGCCTCAGCCTTCTTGCCGAAGAAATGGAGAAAAAAAACTGGAACAAGGAAGCTGTCGCCATTTCCATTGGTCGGATCAACGGCTTCAGCTACCTTGTTGCCCAAGATAGGAGGAAGACGGAAGTAGTTGTCGCCATTTCCGTTGGTCGGATCAACAGTCGTTTCAGCCTCCTTGCCGAAGCCTGGCGGAACAAGGTGGTTGCGGCTACCGGTCCAACCAACCGTTGGATCAACGGTTTCAACCTGCAAGTAACAATTTGACGTGTCACTGCGGCGGGAGACGATCTTGGGTGGCTGCGGGAAAGTAGCACGGTGGCAGCCTAAGCCGGCAACGGTGGTTCTCCGGCCAGTGGTGGGAGTGGGAGTGGGAGGGAAGGTGGTCATGGTGAAACTGGACAAGGAAGCCATTGTACGTTGTTGTAGTGAACAATAAGTCAATAACTATATTTCTCTACGTAGTTTGGTGTGTGTGTGCCTAATTAAGCTCTCCTAATGCGGTATTTATACACACTGATCACTAGCTGGCTATTGTCATTTATTACCTGGTATAAGATTTATTAATATTCAATTTCTCTCAATGATTCGAAGTATTTGGGAAAAACTGATTCTTAACATGATATCAAAGTCTTATTATATGAACGAGAGGTCTTCTGTTCGAATCCAGACGATGCCTATTTTTATACATGGTATGCGCGCGGACCTGTACAACTTTGGCTTTTACCGGTTAAACCACCACCCATCCAACTCAACCTGAAGAAGAATGTGAGTGTGTAACGAGTCATAATAAACACACTAACATATAATATTTCACGAATGTTTTTTCAAGTTTCTCCACGTTCACATTTTTGTGCTCTAATGCAAGAGCGCGCGAACTCCACAATCAAATATTTTGTAGATTAGAAATATACTAAAAAATCTGTTACTATAATTAGTTATGACTAAGGTTGTCTTGTCACCAAATTTAAACTGTTGACTCGTTCAAGCATATGAGTTAAGAGTTAATGAACCAATTAGATCAAGTAGCTAGGTATAGCCAATGACGGTGTTATATTTATCCATTCATTTATGGAAAATGAATTGCATTCATTAATAGTTTTTTAATAACTTTTTTCTTCCTTTCGAAAATGATGTTTTAATTCTTGATATCTCATATCTTCCCTCTTTATTTTTCTTATTTTTCCTTTTTGTTTTTCCTTTTTAGTTTTCTTTCCTTATTTCCATTGTTGGATCTCATATTGGATAATTAGTTGGCCGTCGTTCTTGCTAGCTAACAAGCTAGGTAATAAACGATGTCTTTATTAAGTAAAGCCGGCCTGTTTTTTTCTTTCTGTCTTTATTAAGTAAAGCCAGCCTGATATAGAAATTAAACGGCAAAACTGAGCTATATGGGCATATCCTAATATGAACTTTGTCTTTGTTTGATTTGACTTTGATTCAAATTAAGATGAGATATCCTTTTTAAGGCCATATGGGCATGCCTATTTTTACTTATGTCCTTGTTATGCAGCCGGCCGGATCTCGAATCGTCTATTACATAGCTTGTTAGCTAGCAAGAACGACGGCCAACTAATTATCCAATATGAGATCCAATCCAACAATGGAAATAAGGAAAGAAAACTAAAGAGGGAAGATATCAAGAACTAAAGCATCATTTTTAAAAGGAAGAAAAAAGTTTTAAAAAACTATTATTGAATGCAATTCATTTTCAGTAAATGAATGGACAAATATAACTCCGTCATTGGCTATACCTAGCAAGTTGATCTAGTTCGTTCATTTAACCCTTAACTCATATGCTTGAACGAGTCAAGAGTTTAAATTGGGTGACAACCTTGATCATAACTAATTATAGTAACAAATTGTTAGTATATTTCTAATCTACAAAATATTTGATTGTGGAGTTCACGTTCTTGCATTAGAGCACATATTTAAGCTGCATCACCCTAAATGCCCAGCTACCATTAAATGATAACAACTATGTATAGTTGGTCGCTGGACCAACGGTACGTGCTGAAAAAAAATTCATCATTAACATTCAGTTTCCTTAAAATCATACGAAATTAAACATTTCAAATAATTGGAAAAGTCTAGGATACACAGAGAGTAAATATGTATGTTGTATTTAAATTAGATTCCGATCGGGTCGTACACCATACTAATGAGGTTAGATAGCATGATTAGCTGAAAAAATGACAGCCCATTAATTATAGGCTTTTAAGGCAATAAATCTGTGTTGCATTTAATTATTGGGCTAATACCACTACAACACCCGAACTATCGCGAAAATGCCACTTGTGTCCTATTGTTTCCAATATTCCATCTGTGTCCTGAACTATGATACTTTGTGTCATTTGTATCCTGTCAATTTCGTTGACCGTTAAAGATAACGGTTGACCAAACGGTGGTCAACGCGAAGTTGACTTTTGTTGACGTGGCAAAAAAAGAGGCTGCCACATAGGTGCCACGTCATTGACCTAATATTTTTTTAATTCAAATTAAATAAAAAAATGATTTAAAATTAAAAAAAATTTAAATTCAATTATGTTATTAAACCAAAATTTTAAAACAAAATAATAAAAAACTCTTCTTCTTCTCTACCGATTCACACTCTCCCTCTCTGAAAAATCTCCCAATCCGGCTCAGATGCGCCAACTCGCCAACTCGCCAAAAATCTCCCAATCCGGCTCTGAGAATCTCTCTGAAAGATAACCCAACTCGCCAATCTTTCATCGTGCCGCTACAATGGCCGGAACCCAGAGAATGGGGTTAATTGAAAATCAAAATCCCAAATCCCATCATCGGAGACAGAGGGATTCTCAGCCCATGATTCATGTTCAATGATGGAAGATTTTGGCGATGAATCTAGAGAGGATTTGCTTAGGCGGCGGTTAATCTTCCTACTCTCGCGATCTGGAGAAGAGAAGTCGGTCGCCAGTGGAAGGAGTGATGGTGCCGCCGAGCTACTGGCTCCAATCGATGGGGCGAGCGGCGGGGGGCCTGCCTCTGTCCATTCTGTCTTTGCCTCAGTCTCTGTTCGGGCGATTGGAGAAGAAGAGGAAGGAGCGAGGTCGGCGAGGCGCGGCGGGCGAGGTCGGTGAGGCGGGGAGTCGGTGAGGCGGCGGTTGGGGAGGCGCGGGGTCGGCGAGGTCATCGCCGGAAGCGCAGGGTCTCGAAGGGGCGACGGCAGGCGGAATGGGAAAGGGGTCGATGAAGAAGGTGTTTGGTTTGGAGGGTGGAGGCGGCGTAAGATGAGGGATGGAGGCAGAGAGTGATGATTAGGGTTTCAATTAGGTTAGGGGAAGAAGAGGTAGGATTTTTATTTTATTTTATATTTTAATTATTTTTTTTTCTTATTTTATTAATATTAGATGGAAAAAATTAATATTAAAAATTCCACGTCAGCTGCCACATCAGTGCTGACTAGATTTTCTGTTAAAAACTAACGGTCAACAAAAGTCAACACTAACGGAATCATAGTTCAGGACACAGATGGAATATTGGAAACAATAGGACACAAGTGGCATTTTCGCGATAGTTCGGGTGTTGTAGTGGTATTAGCCCTTAATTATTTGTCTGAATTAAAAATCCATATCAATTACTTTCCTTTTTTCAGTGCAATGGTAGTTGTATCAGTACAATGATATCAGTGTACAGTTGCAATGGTAGTTGTATCAGTACAATAATATTAGTGTACAGTTGCAATGGTAGTTGTATCAGCTCAACTACTACGTACTACTTCTCTAGTGGTACTAGAATTTTTAATTTACTGCCCGCCTACTCTTTTATTATTTTGTTCTAATATAGATTTCAATCGCTTCGAATGCAACAAGAAAAATTATGGTGATAATTCATTATATATTTTTTTAATGCACATTTTAAAATGATTCCCGACAATTACGCAGAACGACTTTGTTTTGCAGTATTTTACTTCAAATTTCTCATTCAAATAACTCATATGCTCCATTATTGTGATGAAGATTCAAGAAAGCGTTAAACATAAGACGAGTGTTGTGCCTAGCATCTAGTTCGTTTAGGCGTCGCTTAAGCGTGCCTAGGAGTTGGAAGAAAAATACCATTTTGTATCAAATGATTAATAAAGAATTTTTACAACACTTACGCACTTCAGTCTAAATGATTAATAACTTAGTTAACACATAACAATAACATAGGATCATAGATCAATAGCTAATAAAGTTCTTGATCTACTAAAAATATTGAGTAAGATTGAGTTTTCAAATGATGCTCTCTCTTTTTGATGTTGACTGTCTAACTTTGCCTAAATATGAATAGAGACACCTAGAGATTACCTTACTCTACGAGGACATTTTGATTACTAACTTGTTATGATACCTCAAAGACGAAGATGTTTGGTATCGCATAGCGACTAAGAAGGCATAAGCGTAAGACTAAACACGCCTTTTTGAACCATGATCGTGACACAAACATTCGTTTACCCGATGTCGCAAAAGGGAGTCAAGGGACCTTCCCATGTTCTATTTCCAAAGTTCATCATAAGCGTCATCAATTACAACGCAACCCTTAAGTTTGAAAAGGAAAATGCATAAACAATGTACATATTTTTATGTGTTATAAACAAGCAACTCAACGACCAACAATCGCAAATGAATTTACAGCACAACCGAATATTATACATTACAAGATATACAATTACATATATGCAAAATGTGCAAAACTGTGGTATATGAATCAAGAAATTTTCCCCCCCAAAAAAAAAAGAAAAAAAGAGAGCCTCCTAATTTAACTAACGTTGTAGGGCAGAGGAGGGAGAGGAGGGATCTGGCGGATGTTGACGTCGAGCGGGTGGAGCCGGTACTGAATGTCGAGCTCTTTGAAGATCTTGACGATCTCCTCCACCAGCAATGCTCGCCGGGAAAACTTCTCCCCCATGTCCTGGTGGTTGATCCGGTGCCGGAACCACACCGCCATCTTCACCGCGTTCAGCCCGTCCACGTCCTTGGTTATCACCATCGGGCTCGGGTACCAGTGCTCCTTCTTCCCCTCGATGTAGCTGCATCCACACACAAGAGAGAGAATCGTATAAGATACATAATTAGCGTTGTCGACTTAACTGACTGACTGACTGCTACTATCAGGTACCATCTACGCTTGTAGAGCTGTCAGTTCGGTTCGATCAACCGAACTGAAAACTGTTGAGAAACCAAAAAAAAAAAATCGATACAAACTGTTTCCCTGCAACATCGAAACCGAACCAGTATCAGGCTGTTTCCCCAACTGTTGAACTTCTCCTAATCACTCGAGTTGTTGTGATCAACTAGTTCTTGGCATAGTATTAGAGCCTTCCGTAACCAAGAGGTATTCTACTATTCGAATCCTAATTACCCTTATTAGTTAAGCACATGGTATTCAGACCTATGCAAACTTCAAACTTATATTTATAAGGTGGCTTTTCGTTTGAGGGGTGTACGTGATAGTAAGTGGTGTATATGATCCATAGTTGAATCTCTCCCGACAACTCTAGTTATTGGAATCAACTGGTTCCTGATGACAAGAACAAGTTTCGGTTTTGCTTTCTTCTCGCTTTTCGGTTTAAAACCCGAAACCGTCATAAACACAAACCGATAATAAATCGAACATGAACTCGATAAGATTCTCATCGATTCGGTTTTGGTTTAAACCGAAAAAAAATCGAACCCAATTTCCCAGCCCTACCTACGAGGAGCATTGCGTACCTGATGATTTTCTGTTTCATCGTGGCGATCTTGTCGGCCGGAGTGGCGACATGGACGAGGAACTCAATCCCGTCGCCCATGTCGGGGCTCCGGTAATAGTTGCCGATGCACTTTGTGGCCAACGTACTATTATGGTACACCACCTTCTGGTTGTCCGATCTCAGGAAAACCGTCGTCAATATGTTCATCTCCTCCACCACCAACTATCCAAAAACGACGTCGCATCAACTAATCAGCAAAAAAACCATGCACATGCATGCATGCAACGTACGTACGTGACCGCAAACAAGAAAGCTAGCTAGGGTTTTTTACTTTACCTGGACCCCGTTGGCGTCGATCTCGCAGCGGTCGCCGACGTCGTACGGGTGGACGATGAAGAGGAAGATGATGGACTCGAAGAGGGTCTTGGCGGTGTTGCCGAAGATGAAGGAGACGACGACGATCTGGGAGCCCATGAGGACGAAGAAGCTGCTGGGCGCGATGCCGAGGAGGAGCAAGGAGATGATGAGGATGATGATGGCGACGATGACGTTGACCATGTGGTGGAGCTTGTTCACCGCCGTCTTAGTGTCGTTTAGGGTTAGAGCTAAGGCCCTCCTTTCCCTGAAGGCATTCACCTATACACATCATGACTCGATTGAATCAACCGCTTCCCCAAGTACTCCCAACTCTAATTAATTAATTAATTAATTAGCATGCCAAAAAATCATTCCTCAACGTGTTTGATTAGGGTTTAGTAAATAGTATGATTGTAAAATGATACGGGAAGGTTATATCGGAAAAGTTTAGAAGTATGGTATTTTGTCCTGAAATCATGAGTAAATACAACTGCATTAATCAACAATGTATAGTTCCATGGACCGGTTTCCTAAGGATTGTGAAACCGTATCGAAGATGATACCGCAAAAGTTAATGCTACGATATTTTGTACTGAACTCGTGGTTCGGTCGTTTCATATACCACTAGAACCGCCTATCAGCTGTTTGGGGCCTAATATTTCCCGGTCCGACCAGGCGATAGGGTATGGATTCTAACGCGTTGTAGTTTCAAACATGTTTTGTTCAGTGATTGTAAAACTCGTACCGAAAGTTGTACACTAGAATATTTCATGTTTCAACGGCTTTTTAATCATACTGTCATTCAATCGTTTCATAACGGTACCATCCAATATCAACTTGTACTCTTATAGACGATTTTTCTAATCATATCTCTGTAGCAGCTTGATCATGTGAGTCTAGAAAGAAAAAAAACTTACCACCCAATTCTTGAGAGAAGACTTGCAAATTCTACAAGTCTCCGATGCTCCTTCAAAGAAACTCATCGTCTTCAGCGCTTCCTCTTCTCTCATAAACCGCATCAGATCCTCGAGATAAATGTACCTATACCATCGACCCCAAAAACCCAACAACATCAGCAAAAACCCCAAAAAAAAAACACACTCCCTTCTTGACTGAATTCACAACAATATTGGGAGTACCTTGAATTCGGACCAGCCACATTGTAGAAGATCTTCCTCGCGGCAGCTTTCGCCTCGTACTCGCTCTTGATCTTCCTCGACTCGTCCTCGAGCTCGTGGTTCGCTCCGTGGAGGATCTGCTCGTCGAGCGTCGACAAGGAGCCGTGCCTCACGATGTTGATCAGCCTCTTCATGTTCCATGCAGAGACGTTCTTGGTGTTGAGCTGGTGCAGGTGATCAATGGTGATGGTGTTGGATTCGTCTCCAACCGCCTTCTTCTCCACGGTCGACGAGTTGGTCCTCCCTTTGAAGCTCCTCCCGATCATCTTCCCACTCCCGACCACCTACAATAAAAAAAAAAGCTCAAATCATGAAATCCATTCATTAACCACTAAAACCCTAACTTCATGTTTAGTATCATTTATTTTTGTTTCTGTTTTCCCTGTTTTTACATATGAAAACAGAGACTCAAAACATGTTTAGTTCTGTTTCCGATAACCTGACGTCTTGTTTAGTATTACTTTCGGTCTCTCGTTTTCGACTTGCATCTGGAAACATGTTTAGTTTGGTTTCTATCACTTGTGACAACGGGAGTTGACAACACAACACAAATTAGCTGAAAATCATGAAATGACTTTAAGCAGTTTTCATCGATGTTTCCGAAAGATGTTTCTTATGCAATCCTATCATTTGTTTTAACAGATTCCATTGTATATGATCAAATCTCACTAAACTCAGTACAATAAATTAACTTTGTACGTATTTTTCCCTCTTCTTCATGTTCATATAACTCATCCACCGAAACCTTATTACCAACATAATTTTTTCATATCATTTCCTACATCAATTTTCTTATACCTTATCATGTCTCACTATTCCTCACGTTATTTTTCATACTTTTTTTATAAAAGACACTCAATGAAGTAATCAAAACACAGAAAATCCACAACCTTCCATAATTTCTCAGAATCACCAACTAAAACGTGTTTTTTGTTTTTTCATGCATTTTCATAATGCTATGGCTCTACCTCTATCGTCCGCTACCACAACAAACAAAACTGTACTAAACCGGATTATGTTCAACCACGTCGTACGTACCTTCCCCGCCGCACTGGAAAACACGGTCTCCCTCAGCTCCGGCGGAACACTCGCCCCGGCGCTCTGCAGTTTCGCCACCTCCGCCGCTGTCCTCTCGATCTCGTCCCTCGTCCTCAGCTGCTCGATCAGCGGCGGGCCCGACAGCGTCTCGATCACGTACTGATTGAACAACGCCTCCTGAATCCGATCGAAATAAGTACTCACGTGAAATGACGACGCCAACACCTTCACCAGCAAGATCTTCAGCAACCAAATGAAATTCGCCACCAGACAGCAAATCAAAACCTTCGTCAAATACTTCAACGCCTTCACCCTCCCTCTCGCCTCCTGCTCCACCCTTTTATCAAACAGCAACAACCACGCCAGCAGAACAAGCCCTAGCCACAGACAATTCTGCACCCCGTTTTTCAACCCGTACACAAAATAGAGAACTCTTTTACGTAGTAAAAAGTTTCTCTCCACGAAGTAGACGATGATTCGAATCCCCCAGCCGGAGACGAGACGGCCGCAGATTAGAACGAGGAGGAGGACTTCCCATTTCCATAGGGTTAGATGGGCGAGGCGTTTTCTCTTGAAGGAAGGGACGGCGAGGGTGTAGATTAGTCCGGCGACGATGGCGATGAGGACGAGCCACTGGAAGATGATGGAGAGGTTGAGTTTTGTTCTCTTGAAATCCTCGGGGAGGTCCTCGAGCTCGAGGTCGTCGTCGTCCTCGTCTTCCGCTCCGGTCCGAGACATCAGACCGGAGCGGTAGAGCTGGCCCGACTTCGCGATGATTTCGGACATCCGCTCCATCTCGTCCTCGGGCGGGTCGAGCAGACGGGACTTGGTTTTCATTCGAGAGAGCGTGCTGGCCTGCTTCCGGAAGGAGCGGTTGGACGTGCAGCGGACGACCTCGTCCCCGTCTCCGCGGGACGGAGACGGGGCGGGGTTCTGGTGCCGCCATCGGAGCGACTGGTCCGTCGCGCTGGTGGCGGCGGCAGCGGCCGCTGCCGCGGCCGCCGTCGCTGCGTCGGCATACGCGGCGCTGGAGACGGAGGGGTCGAACGAGACGCGGATCGAGGAGCGGCGGCTCATCGGCGAGCCGCCGTGGATGACCGGCGCCTGCTGCAGGCGCCGGTCATCCACGGACTTGAGCTCGTCCATTTCGAGGTCCATGTCGAGGGAGATCTCGCCGGGTTTCTGCTGGGAGAGGAACTGGTGGATGAGGCGGGTGGGAGGGTCTTCGTCGGCGGCCTGGCTGGAGAAGCCGAAGCTGGCTTCCCTTTGCATGTGGTTGGGATCATCGGCGGGAAGAGCACCGCCGGCGTTGTTGTTGTCGACGTCGACGGTGCTGTAATCCTTCCTGCGGGTGGTAGGAGAATTCATGATGTTGTTGGTGCTGTGGTTGATGATTGCGTCGGGGGAGAGGATGGGGAGGTGCTCGTGGGATGCGGTGGAGGAGGAGGAGGAGGAGGATTTGCCGCCTATGCCGGCGGAGAGGCGACGGACGTGCTTGTAGGAAGGGTGGGATTTGAAGGATTTTCTGAGCGTGTCCATTTGTTGGAGGAGGAAGGTAGTGATCGGAGAGATTGTATCTCAAAATGGGTGATTTTGAGACAAATCTCTATCCCATGGTGGTGATGATCGATGGATCGATCAATGCACCGTTTTGTTTGGTCTTGTTGTTTGATTTGTGTTTTTTTGTTCTTTGTTGGTGTTGTTTATCGTGAGATTGGGATTAAGGGGGTGTGATTAGGGTTTGTGGGGAGATTTTGGGGAGATATGGAAGGTGGGATCAGGATCATGATCGATGTCGTCAATGGCATCATCTTCTTCGTTAATGATGGTACAAGGAGGAACAAATGGCATGGGGAACGCGAGAAAATGGCCTAACATGGCATGTGAATCAAAACAAATCGCATGGTTACATGAATTTTGGACGCTAGTGGTGTGGTCCAGTTCAAAAACCAAACCGCATATATGGTCTATTGTCCACATAGAGGGGTTGTAGTACTAACCATATAAAAGAATAAAAAGATTATAACAATTCAAACCATATCAAATACTATACAATCTACACCGTATCATGTTTTTACAGTCTCGCTCGGTACATCAAGATCGGTCAAATCACGTTGTGCAACAGATGAAAATTTCTGTTTGATCTATCACGCTATAAATCGAACCAATATTTTTGTACTCATCGTATAAAATATTAACCAATTTTTGTAATTTAATTTGTAAGTTATACACGAATAATCGTGGACGCACAAAATCCAATTGGATATAGACATGAATTTAATTATGTGCCCAATTTTTATATGAGTTGAATCCAAATTATTCCGGATAGAATAATAAATATATTACAACATCCACCACCACCTAAAGTCCTAAACCTTTATCACCCCCTACAGTCATCCCATATTATCATAGCCATGGGCCCAAAGGAGTTGAGCCCGTTAAACAAAACCCAGTCGACAGCCCATAACGATGAACCGGAAAAGCCCGAGTAAGGATCCAGGTATGATTGTTTCTTCTTTTCGAACAAACGTAACAAAGGACAAAGCGAGAGGGAGAAAAATGGGATATAATATTACTGTACATTGATTTGACAACCTCAAGAAGATAACAGTGAATAATTTAACCCTGCACCACGTTCTTTTTTTTTTTTTTGGCTGTGGAAATCCCATGCTCAAATTTTCTCTTCTCCCTTCACCTTTTGTATCATCAATGGTGGCCTCTTCTAAGGGCGGAGAGGAACCCTCCGTGGGACTTCTCCTTCCGCCCGTCGCCCAAGTCGTCTCCAACCTGTTGTTTGTTGTACACGAGCAAGTTGTTATTATATATACTAATCAATCTGGATTTGCATGCAGTATGTTAACGTAGAAACGAAAAGAAAACGTGCTGGATCGAAGGATATGGATTTTCACTACCTCTTTGGCTATCTGTTGCAGGTTCTCGATGATTTCGGAGAAGTCGGGTCTCAGTGCTGGATCCTGCTGCCAGCATCTCTCGAGGAGATCCGCAAGCTTCGGGTTACTGTGCTTGGGAATCGTAGGCCGTAAGCCCTGTAAAAGCAAGAAACGATGTGCATTCATGAATTGGAAGTTTGGAAGCAGAACATTTTTGCTTGTGGCATAGGGAAACAAGATTGGGTACCTTCTGGACCACGCCAACTGCTGCCTGAAGCGGTGTCAAGTACTCGTATGGAAGCTGGGATACCAGAAAGAAGAAAATCAGGATTGAGGTTGGCGGTGACTTTGTTTGAAACCCAAAAAAGAAAGAAAGATGGTTGGGAATGGAGGATATATATACCTTTCCGGTTAATAGCTCCCATAGTACGATGGCGAAACTGAAGACGTCGGCCTTGTGATCATATGGCTTGTGCTCGATGACCTTCAATGTACAACAAAAATGGCGTGAGGGTGTGTAAGGATGAGCCACCGAGTGGGGCACAGTAAGAGATATCACGCTCTTTCTATTTGTTTTTTAAGGAGCACCTCAGGAGCCATCCATCTGTAGGTCCCGGTTTCAGCTGTCATGACACCAGATTGAGTTTTCACCCTGGCGACCCCGAAATCTGCAACCTTTACCACCTGCATATCAAAGAATCAAAGAGATTTACTATCAAGCTTAGCAACATTTCAGTCCGGGAATGAGTGGAAATTGTTATAAACTATTAACCACTGATCCAAACCTGATGCCTCTAAACAATAACAGCTAATCCAAACCTAATGCATGATGCCTATTTTACAACAATAACCTGACTAGTTTTTGGCTCCAACCTCTAAGCATCTTTTGTGGTCAATTAGACATTTTAACCGATCCACTCTGCTCATGTTAGCAGCTAGCAAGCATCAGAGAATAAGGAACGGGGCTGCTATGGGGTCAGCATTGCTTTGAGGTTACGAGACAGGGTTCACGGGATCAATCAGATGAAAGCATGGTTCAAGTAGAGCGGAAATTGGTAATCATGCTACTTTAAGTATGGAAGACCCTTACCTCATTTTCATCCATGAGAAGATTTGCAGCCTTCAGATCTCTGTGAATTATGTTGTTTTGGTGCAAGTAGTTCATTCCTTTGGAAATATCTATTGCTACTTTAAGTAAGGAGGGAAGCTTGAAAACTCCCTTGTGTTTATGTAGGTAATCATACACGCTGCCGCCAGACATGAATTCTATAGGCACAAAGAGCAGGAAAGGAGAACAAAGAAAGACAATTCATTAAATGGCAATGAATTATCACAACATAAAATACTAAAATAGAATATCAGGAGGATAGTATAAGTAACACTTACCTGTTACTATACACAAACTTGGTGGTTTGGTGCATGCACCAATGAATTGTACAACATTCTTATGCCGAACTTTCCTACAAGTCCAAAGCATCTTCAAGTTAGAAATGTATCGTCCTAGCACACTAAAAGCTCCCTAATGGCTAGAGTTTAAAGGGAACCAGGAGAGAAAAAAGACAGTATTGCTGACCTCATTATGTAGACTTCCTGGGCAAACTCTCTCTGCATATCTGTATTTACTCGCTCAGCCTTCAGAACTTTGATAGCTACTTCTTGGCTACAGTAAGTACCTTTGTACCTAGACCAAATATGTTGTAAGATGATTTCACAGTTAAAAGAATCAGGATACATTTCAAATGTAAGGAACTCACAAGTCCCCATATGATCCAGATGCCACCATGTTGTCAAACTTTAGTTGTTTAAGATCAATTTCCCAGACATCAATCCCATCGTTGGGTATGGTCACGCAATCAGGATCACATTTGACACTAATTTGCTCAAGTTTCTTTGTAGAAGGTAGTGAGTGATGGTTTGACCAAGTCTGATTCTGCATTCAATTTCAAGTTGATTAGTGCTTGCTACCAAGCCAAATTAGAAATATTGATAGGGCATGTTTAAAAGTGTAATTTGGCATTTTCTGAGACGGAACATTGAGATAGTAAAGAGGTCAGTAGTATTTGAACTGCCTTATTCAGAAGTTCATTAAAGATAACAGAAACCGTAGATATCTTGATCCATAACGAAATCAAATAAATTTTGAGTTTATGAATTACCTCAATTTTGTAAGCTTCCTTTAACAAAGCGGTTCTAAGCTGCTCCGTTTCCTGAAAAGGTCCAAAACCAATGCCTGTCAGTAGCATTGTGTGAATTTTCAAACAAGCTCAGTAACAGCCTCAATGAGTGGGGAAGAGCTGCACTAAGAGCAAATTAAAGAAGTTAGTACCTCATACGGCCAACCATCAACAACAAAGACATCCAATGAGTAACCATCAACTGTTGAAAACGCATGTGCTTCTTGAATGTTCAATCCAGCATCAGCAAGCATGGAAGTCAACTGCAAGTTTCACAAACTCAGTGAAGACCAAAGATCACATAGATCTTACGAAATCTGAAAAAGTATACAGCTTTCAGTTCAGGATGCACGCTGATATACCTGACTTAAAAGTTTTGGCTTGTCCTCAGCTGAAAACGTAATTTCATGCATGTGCCTGTCAGAATGGCAATTACAATATGAGACTTTAAGCAATGGATAAGGGAAGACATGCAGAACCATACATGTATGCATTGTTATCTTTCAAGAATACAGTGTCAATGAACTGCAGCAGCAAGATAAATCAATGATATATTCACCAATCATCATCATTTATTACCTTCTCGGAAACTGCAAGCTATGAAAGCAACTCCTACGAACACAATAACGTTTTACCCCCCCCCCCCCCCCTCTTCTCCCCCTGACTTCACTCTCCTAACTCTTTTTTTGTTTTGAATCTCGTAACTCCATGGCACTAAAAGTTCGACGAATATTTCACATACGTGTTGCTAAATGCAAGGGGCACAGTAGAAATGAGAATCTAAGATTCCAAATGGTAGATCAAGTCAATGAAAAATTACCGAGAGAACTGTGAATTGGCATGTACAGAATGATCACTATCCTGACCTTCAGAATCATTTCCTTCAAGTGCAAGTGCTTCAAGATTATGAGATGAACCAAATGCAGGAGGTGGGTGCATACTGAGCATTGAAAACCAACTGATTTTATCAGCATTATTGATGACATATGCTAAGAGGAAACTGGTGAGAAGAAAAAAAGGAAGCACGAAACCACATTCATGCATTCAGCATCTGATGCAATCAACATACCTCTGTCGACTGCTTTGGGCAGATTCCTCCCCATTAGATCCTGGATAGTTAGAATCATCAGTCCACTTACCATCAGGACTAGGAGAAACCTGCAAAGGAGTTCAGTTGGTTCATAACAAACTCAAAAAGGTTTACAGATAGTAACAGTCATGTGATTTGGTCGATGCCAACAAAGAAATTCGGGGGTTGATTCTGGAAAATTCAGAAGAGGGGAAACTGAAACTCCGAGCTATGAAGTTGAGATATGCATGAAATTCCTTTACATCATGTCCGCTATGATGATCTACCCAATGAAGCGGTCAACAGCTGACAAAAAATGATAGCTTCATTTTTGCACAAATGATAAAGAATCCACAGACAGCACAGCGGTGACATAAGGTGTGTTCCTTTATAATTCAGCAGAACCCAGTTTCAAATTCAATCCTCGAAGCCGAGATATGAGAAGTCAAGATGGATATTGACAGGCAAAATGAAATCTGGAGCCTTTCTCTATGTACATCTAGTCAACTAGTTACTATGCTCATTTGGCATGCAGTTCATGAGTCATGACGACTTTAACAACATGGGGAACTATTTCACGGGTCGCATAGAAGATGATTCTGACATTAGAAAAGAAGAAGCATACACGGAAAAAAGTTTTCACAGTTCTAGGGTGGTCCCAGATAATACAGCTGTGAACTCTCTCAAAAATCAAGACGCACCATGTTGCAATGCGATAAGCTACGTTGGCTTTGGAAGGGAATGGAATAAGACAGCCACATCCACACCCAAACAAACTGTAGCTTCCAAAAACTAAAAGAAGACAGTAACAGGCATTAACAAATATCATCACAGCATCCATGTGAACCAACCACGATCCACCAGCACCAAAATGAACAGATTTGGAGGAAGAAGACAGCACAGTAAAAAGAACAAAAGCAAAAAGAAGCAAGCACCCCAATTCTGAGTCTGGCAAAGCTAGGCAGCAAAAGGTGTTCCAATTGAATAAGAATCAAGCAATGCATACATCATCTGATTGAACTCGCACCTGTACTAGCCGGACTTCGATCACCGGCCGATTAGCCAGATCGTGAGCCAAATGCAGTAGTCTCTTGTGCATTAGAACATCCTCAGCTCTTTCCACATTTACATCCAATGCATATCTGTTATGAGAATCAAGATTTCTGATTATGATAAAGTACTGATCAGGACTCACTCCATCAACTTGATCTCCACAAGAACAGGCCGAGAAATGCACAACTTCAAACAGTTAGTCTGCATTCAGACGAAAATCTCCCAAACAAACAATCGATTCGTCATTTCTTTTACCCCATCCTCTACAATTACAATCCAAGAGCTCAGAATATTCACTCACTAGCAGACAGATTCCACATCGCAATCCACCGCCAGAATATACAGAACCACACAACACCACCAGGAAAAAAACAAAATCATGAAAGTAAGGAAGGAAAAAAAAAGTGGAGAAAAACGTTTTCCGTACCGAACGGGGAGGCGGCTGAAGTGAGACCAGAGCTCGTCGTCGAAGCCGTCACGACCGGCCTCTTCATTGTCCGATTCCTTCAGCCGACGGAGAACCTCATTGTACACCTCCAGCTTCTGCCTCTGCTGCCTCCCCTGCGGCGGCGGAGACGCCGACGAGGACCTGCCTTCCTGCACTGCTCGGCTCCCGCAGCTCTCGCTCTTCTCCTCTGTCGTCGTCGTCGCCGCCGTCATCATCTCCACCATTGAGAGAGACGAGCGCGCGGCAGCCAGCGACGGAGGTGGATTTCAGCGAGTTATAAATAAATAAAAAACCAAAATCCGAGTCTCCCGAACACTTCCAACGAAACGGAGGCAGGCCGCCGGCGGGAGAATCGGGAGCTACTGTTACTGGTGGCGATTGTGGTGGCTGTGGGGTTTATATGGAAGAAGAAGAGAACGAGACGACGGAGATTTGGCGAGAGAATCCTCTCTTTTTTTCCTTTTTTTTTTTTTACTTTGTAGAGAAAAGAAATAGAAAATCTGTATTTAAAGGATTGGAATGCCGACGTGGATCTCTAACTACAGGGGCGAGTATCGGGGTTTTGTTACGCTGCGGTTGAGGCAGGTGGGGGCGTTCGTGGACCTTCAGGGGGTTGTTGCTTGTTAGCCGTTGGATGTAAGATCGGGATGAAATCTTGTTAATAACGTTGTGATTAACTGCTTAATTAATTGATTAACTTCCCCCTCAGAATCAGTGAGGGGATTGCCCAAGTCCCAAAACTCTCTCTCTCTCTCCTGGCTGCCCGAAAGAAAAGGAACAAAGTGGCATATTCCTTGCTGGTGCCACATGTTTTGGATAAGCTTTGTGCCTGTCTGGCGCTGACCGGAAAAGACCGGGCTGCCCGGTTTCGATTAGTTTAGCTAATTGACTGCTAAGATTAATTGAATTAGTTTGTATTGGTAACGGAGAAACGAAGAACTTGGTTAAGGATAAATTTAATCAATAGTGTCCAAAAAAAAGCTAACTAATAAGTAAAGAGATATATAGAAACAAAGGGAAATTTCTAGCAATGTTTTTGTTTGCTAGTAGGTTTAGTGGTTGCCTTTAACTCTCTATCAAGTAAAGAAAAATGAAGCAAAAATGACCTAAGATAAGGGATGTTTGAAAAATGAGTATTAGGTCAAATTTTTAGGAAACAAGTAGGATTGGTTACGATAATTGATAAGAGATATGATTTTTAAATAAAGGTACTTGATTAAATGGATATAAAAAATCATCGTAGCGAGTTTTTTGTTTGTAGAAGCGATTTAAATATATCGATGTATGTGGTTGATTATTTGGCTCGTCTATTTTAATTCCCCCCGTGTGATTTTCTCAACAACACACTCCTAAAACTTCCCATTGAATTTTTTTTCTTCAAACAAACCATTACACATGAATCACACCCAACATGTCGTATCTTTCGAAATTTATCGAAAACAGACCCACACGGCCTACTTAAGTGTGGGGTTTATGTGGTATGTTAAAAGAACGATGTTACTCTCATAATTTTTTTTTTTTTTTTTTTTGACAAAATTACTCTCATAATGATGGTGAGGTAAACATGAGTGCAAAAATATACAAGGAATACCTTTTCTATCTATTACTACCCTTATGAAGCATTCTCTGTATTGTTCCAATTTTACCAGATGTACTCGAAGGGACCTGCATTATGATGCATTCTAAATCTAGCACAACAGACATAAGTGTACAACAGCCCCGGTAAGGTTTCCCCCACAACAGATATGGTACAAACAAATTATCTTCAATGTTTTATACCTCGTAACCATACAATCATTTATTCCAAAGTTACATATTAAAAGTGGTAACCTAACATGCGCTGTTAATATCATATGACACCGTGTCGGTTGTTTTTTTTACGACAAGTTTTAGTATCTTTTCTTTAGTTTATTCCATATTCCATCACCATTCAGTCACACCCTCTTTTACATATATACTAATCACCTATAAGAAAAAATTATATCACATCGAATCACGTACATCAATTTTATATTATCTTATACACAAGAGTCCACTGCTGTAATACCGATATTATATTACAGGGTTTGTCTACCCGGTAGATTTGAAAGTATTCACACATGACTTATATCTAGCTTAGCTAGCCTCCCAATAATACTTTGATAAGCATAAACTAATTACTACTATTAGGGTATATGCCAAGCTTATTCCTTTATACCTCCCCCACCATCTAGGTTACTCCTTATATTAATCTACCTTTAACCCTTGCATGGGGAAAATAATATTACATACCAATGTCTAATCAATTCACTGAGCTAAGGACACCCTATAGAGAAGAGAAATAGTTCAATGGTTATCCACGTTTAGTTTAAGGAAAGAAACTCGATCGAACTTGTCTTCCTTCACTCCTTACACATATACATTGTCTGAAAAATGCAACCACCGCCATCGCCAAGTTGATTACAAAACTTGCATGGAGTGGAACACGTGCCGGCGGAGAAGCTACCCACAGGGTTGGTTCAGTTCGGACTGGTCCAAATTTCGGTTCGGTCCGGTGCTTGAACCGGGTTCGCATCCTCCGGAAGAATAAACCGGGACACGGGCCGACCGAGATGGCCACGTCGACGCCACGTGGGAGGAGGGTGGGGGGATCGCCGAGAAGCTGACGTGGAATAAGCGGCTGTTCGAGGCAGCGAGAGGACGTTGAGTTGATACGATTTGATTAATTTGCTGCGGCGAGTGGTCGTCGCCGATCGAGTCGTTGTTATTTTATAAATTATAATAATAATAATATCGGGTGGCACAGTGGCAGGAAGATAAACTTGTTTAACATTTTTGCAATTAATTAGTACTATGAATAGATCGTAAGTATTATTATTATATATAATCAGAATTAGGGTTAATTATTGTGAAACCAAAGCCTTCTGCCCTGCCGGCGGCCTCGTAAATGAAAATCACGAACGTACCAGCACGGGCTACTCTTATCTGTATGACAGCTTGTGCGCAGAGAATACAGACAAGGGATTGATTTTATAGGATAGTGAGTAGAAATGCGTCCAGATACATTATAGATGGAAGTTATCTCTATAAAATAAAAAAGTTACTAATCAATATTTTTACCCTTCGATTTTTCAATTGTGTGTAGAGTATGACGTGTGAGATTCATATTAAAGCTTATCGATTTCTTACAAACTGATGAAAGCGAAAGAGCTAAGTTCGCATGATTAGGGTTGTTAATGAGTCGACTCGAGTTTGAATTCTTTACCTAGACTTTAACTCCGTTAAAAAATAAATTATATTAAATTAGTTGAATCTGAGCTCGTGATGATGAGCATTAAAAATTAGGGCTATCTTGAGTTTGGATTGATTGTGCAAAATTGTTTTTGTGATACATATATGTTATGTGTACGTATACAATATCAAGTTAGCTTGCACCCCGACAAGCTGAACTAGCTCTATGTCTCAAGTTCGACTCATTAGTAAACAAGCTTGTTTGCATGTTGGCTCGTTAAAGTATCGAATAGTCTTTTTAAAATCGTCGTTTAGTTTCTTTGGGTTTAGGGTTTGTTTTTTTAGTATTAAACCATGTTGTAGCATGGAGTAGTAATGTCAATTGATCATTCTTAATTAATGTTATCCAACCACGTGGAAACGTGCAGCACTGATCGCCCTTTTCTTTAATCTCGTCCTTAATTATTAATCCAAATATAGGAAAAACCAGACCACCCAGCTCTCCCCAGGCAACCACCTCCACCAGGTCGATCGGCGGATCCGGCCAGTGAGCCGGTACTAAGACCCACGGGCTGACCGGAAGAGCCAGACGCGGGCCCGACCGTGATTGATGACGTGGAAGGTTGAGACGCACCGGTCGGACCAGTTCGGTGCATGGTTTTGGTTTACGATGATGAGTTCATTATTATGGCCATTTTGATCTTTTTTCTGCGTTGATACATTCTATATAACCTTCATAAAAAAGGTTATTCTATAATCTATGTGTTAGGCCCCGTGTTAGTAACATAATAACGTTAGTTAGGACTTAGGAACATTCATAATCCGACCTGAATTCGGTCCATATTCAATCACCCGTGATCCCAGAGTGATTAATCTTTGAATTAACAAAATTGTAATAATTTAACCAAGTTTTTATCGGACTAATGTACTTGATCGAACACATTGGCCAGATTCATTGTCATTAAGTATATATGAAAGTCGAGTTAACAAATAATATAGGAGATCATTAGTCCACGCATGCATGTTCCAAATGGTATCAACAGTGTGCTTATATATACACACGTCACATTTCACAAATGCCAGAGTCAGAAATCCAAACGAGAAAGATCTAAAATATTATGGTCGAGAAATTTCAATTGTGGTAGCTCAACCTGGATTGAAGGGTGCCAATGCTTTGGCATATGCATGGTTTCTCAAATTCGTTGCAAGTTTTCATTGCACAATTACAATGTAGCTTTGCAAATTGTGTATCATCTCCTGCCAATTGAATCCAAAAGAAGAAGGAAATTGATATTGGTGCTCAGAGTAGGATATATGTGCGCATGACTGATATCGATATAATTTGTGTATGATGTGATCTTAATTGTGCAATCCATATGTGTGACGATCGATTCACATTGTTTATAAGAACATCATCCTAGCCATTAGCCCAGTAGTTCCATAAAAGCCCTAAATGAACTAAGTTGTGATCAGAAAAGCCCTGAAACTGAACCAAGGTTCTTGACCAGAAAAGAAAACTTCACCTTGTGAACCAGGCAGGGACTCGCACTGTGTGACGAAACCACCTAAAATGTGTCTCGTCTCAGCTCATTCGTTCATTCTATTTTCTGTAGCACGATATTAGAAATTCCGATCATAAATTCATATAGTATTCCTGCTCGTCTTAACTTGACGAACTTTGCTTTCTGGGAATTTCAGTTCAGGATGTTCGTTGTAGTCATTAGTCAAGGGGCTTCCTAGCAGGCTTGATTGGCTCGTGCTTGTTGGCTGCAAATCTGCAGTGTGGTGAGTAATTCGTTTTAGTAGATACTTTGTCAATGTTATCCAACCATGTGGAAACGTGCAGTACTGCTCGCCCTCTTTTAAATGCAACAATCCAATTTGCAGTTTGCCGGCCTTTCTTTTACGTCCATATATAACAAAGACTTAACCAGGCAACCACCTCCACCAGATGGCGCGGGTCCGCCGGTGACCCACAGTATAACAACCTTACCGATGGAACCGAAAGAACCGTGGTTGACGACGTGGGCGATTGACATGTAACATCGTACCGAAAGTTGTATCGATATGCTAGCAAAATAGTGGTTTAGCAGAGCACTATTTGGTTGTTTACAACTTCAAGCAACGACGGTAATGAAAGATTAGTCATGGTGAATAACCGAGTGATAACAAGCCTCAAGAACTACAGCAGAACAACAACAAACAGCTATGGGACACAGCATCTACTGGCAGGCAGGAATTCCTAACCGCAGAGGTTCCACACATATAAACAAGTCTACAACAGACCACATGAAACGAAATATATACAACACAAGTGAAAAGTCATATGCTGTGTCAAGGCTTTTACCCTAGCATCATATCATCTCCATCTTCCAGCATGTGAAGAACGTGCTCACCGCCTTCTCCAATGAGCCACCCTCCGATCCCATCGACTTCGTCGAACTCTTGTGCATAACTGCCGTCCACATTATCCCACTGCTCTGGCCCGATCTCCTCGCCATGACACGTCACTCGCAGGAAAGGTCTGTTCCTGGCTAGAGCGTCTATAATATCTCTGTTCACACTCCCTGCAATTCCCAATCATCTCAGCCTTGGAAAGTATGGATTCTTCAACCACTTGTATGCCAGCTGCGTAATGCCGCCGCAGTTGTAGATATCCAACAGCCGCAAACAGTTACCATGTCGCTGGTCGTCATCCACCTGCATCGACGCCAGTGCCATCACAGATGTATCGCCGATGAGAGGGCACTGTCTAATACGAAGCTCCGAGACGGGAACCCGACTCCTTGCTAGAGACAGAATCCCTTCGTCGGAGAGACTGGGGATGTTCGAAAGATCCAGCTCCCGCAGCTCTAGATTTGATGCATCTTTGAAGAGAACCGAGATGGCTCTATCAGTGAGCCTCTTGCATCCTCTCAAGGACAATGAAGTCAGAGACTTGATGACTCTTTCCCTGAGAGAAGACAATCCGAAGTCACTTATATCCATACCATCCAACCTCAAGGTTTTCAACTCGGGAAGAGTACCGATAGCTTTGAGGGCTTCATCACCGAGGCTCTTGCATTCACGCAAGTCGAGTACTTTGATCTGCGCGTTGGAGACCAAGTTCCCTATCGCGTGGTTCGTGAGAAGGTAACACCATCTCAAGCTGACATGAATCAGAGAGAGGGAAGTAGCTGAGATGTCATGGAACACGAGATCTGTCAAGTGTGTCCCATGACAGACTTTGAGCTTGTATAGTCTGGAGCATGAATGAAGGATTGTTTTGAACCCGGAATCCGTGACACGACAGAAGCCTCCAAGTGATATGCTTTCCAAGTTTGTACACTTATCGGCCATCATGAGTAACCCAAGATCGTTGACCCTTCGGAAGTATGTGATGAGGTACTGCTGACTTCGGATTAGAGACAAATGTTTCAGCTTGCCGTGCTGATTGACAAGCTCGAGGCCAAGGTTGGTGAGATCAGTTACGATTGTTGGTTCCATGAAGGGTGCGTCTCGGAGGTCGAGGTGGGTTAAGGACAATAGGCCACTTGATATTGTTCCAACCATAGTGTCTGTGATGGAGTCGACTGAAAGGATAAGTTTCTGAATCCCAGGGAGAATGGATGGGTGAAGTGAGTTTGAAGATTTGGGAGCTAGATTTGGGGCAAGCAGTTCAGTTACCATGACCGAGGACACATAGCCAATCTCCAGACATTCGAGTTTCTGAGATGCCGACGCCCAAATCGGGGCAAAATCATGACCAGAGATTAATGAGACATCAAACATCAACACGAGTGCCTGCGAAACAGTAGAGAATATCAGTATCTGAGGTAAACTTGCATAACAACATTCACATAACAAGATCAAACAACAACAGACCAACCATGGTAGAAGTTATGTATTCAGATAAGGGAGAAAATAAGCTAACATACAATATGTATGGAGGGTAATACCACGACACTATTGAGTATTCATCATAAAGATTGCTTGCAGTCAATTTTGAACTTGGCAATGACGTGCATTACAGATGAGAATTTGATATCTAGGAGAATCAGACCCAGTTTTTAAAAAAATTGAATACAGTTAACCAAATAGGTGAGACCAAACAAATCAGGGAAGTCATTATATAGAACCAATTTCGAGCATTCGACTAACTATGTTCAATGAAGCTTTCATTAACAAACTTCACAGCTAAGCCTTACTTCCAACTGCTTGCAACAACTGAGTAAGTCCCCCAAATCAGATATATGAATGGCTCTGCTTCTTTTTTCGGCCACTGAACCCAAGTAGAGACACCTGAATGAAAGTCAAATGCAAGTCTAAAACACCAATATGAAATGAATAGAACATCACAGCAACCCATTAACCATAGATTGAAGCAAGTCAGCTAATTCTACCGACACATATGAACCGCCATTCGATCTTTACCTCAAATCTGCACAGTTCGAAGCAATTCCACAAAGCAATTTCCCAGTAAAATCAGAGCAGTTGTGCACATACAACTCCTGCAAGGCAGGCTGAGCTAGTAAACTGATGGCCGAATCATCCAGCCGCTCGCAATCAAGTTTCAAGCTTCTAAGATAAGGGTTTGGTGGCAACAAACGCCTCAATATATCAATGGAAAGGGCAATCTCCTGCGAAAATTAGAGAAAGAAAAGAAATTCATGTTACTTCCCATTTTAGCAACAAACAGATCATACAACTTCCCGATTCCCAAACCAATTCATCAATCTAAATGAGAAAATGCCTAGACATGTACGGCCATAGTTTCAAGAATCAAACTTTCGAGGAAAAGTTGCAATCTTTTCTCAGAAACCAAACACGGACCTACATGGGTAATCGAAATCGCTATACAGACACAATCAATAAGCTCTTACCAGAAGGTGGAAGCTGGGGATGAAAGCGAATATTTGAGAAGCGGAAGCTCTGAACGCTCTGCAAGTGGAAGCGGCAGAGCAGATGGAACCCACGTCGAGCTTTGACATTATCGAGCAGACAAGAGCCTCCGGCAGACGATCCAGCCGCTTTCCTTCTCCTTCTCCTCCTTCTGCTTCTCCTTTTCCACCTCCGCTTCCTTCGCCGGCCGACGTCATCGGAGTTTAGGTTTGACTTCCGACGATTTCGTCGAGAGGTTATCGACGATGAGAGTGTAGATCTCTTTGATCCGAAAATTAAGGCAATCGCTGTAAAGTGGCGGGTTGAAATGGATATGGGTAAATTACTAAATTCGGTACCCACGCGATGCGACAATTTCCAATTTGATCACTAAAATTTAGTTATGGCCAACTTAGATCCCTGAAATTCTTGTTTTCCAGGTGGAAGGGGAATCCCTATTATTCAATTTTCAGTTGAGGAGTTGAGCCACTCATTTTTACCAAATCCTCCCACATAGAAATCAAATTGAACCCCACATAAGACAAGAAAAGAAGAGTTATATATATATATATATATTTTTTTTTTTTTTTGATAACGAGGAACACCCTCCACGGTCACCACATTTTGTGATGCCGTAGTCAGGCGAACAACTTAACTTATTCGTCGTATTTGGAAAGCACAATCTAATACAGGATAGGATGGGGGCTGCAAATGTAGTGAGAAGACAAATAGATGATTGTTATAAGATAAAGAAAAATGAGTTACTGTTTCTCTTGTCTCATAATTGGTAACGGATTTTGTGCCGCCCCATGTCGCTAGCATATTTTTGTTTCACATTTTGTAGTGAAGTATGTTAGCTAAGGCAGCAAATAAGTCGAGTCGAGTTTTACCCCAACTTGAAAGTCTGAAACAATAACCCTTTTTCCTTTATCTTATAACAATCATCTATTTGTCTTCCCACTACATTCAGCACAAACATGACAGAACAAATGTCATAATTACACAAAATACAAATTCACACATTGTACAACAACCCGCTGCGTAACGCGATCTTTTCACCCTAATAAATAACAAAATTGTGGGGTGGCAAATAAAATACCATGTTTCTTTTTGCAAGGAGAAAACGTGCATGGAACAAAATTTTTTTGCTAGTGACTTAATTCATCCGACCCATGGTCACAAAATCCTAATCCTCTTAGGAGAACGCAAAAGTGCAAACCGCAGCCTATAAATTAAGCTCGCTAATCTCAAAACCTCTTGCTCTCGTTGCAAAATTAAAAGCTCTTGCATCCATCCTCTTCCGCCATGGGCATGGCGGCCGACGAGAACGGCAGCAGCAAGGGCTGGGATCTGCGGCTGTTTTGCTTCGGCTACGATGGACGTCTTCTCCGTTGCGACACCAGGAAACGGAAGAAGGCTTTAAACCCTCCTCCGTCACCTATAAGCAAGCTCCAAGACGATCTCCTGGTGGAAATTCTGTCCCGCCTTCCGGACGCTGGATCCGCCTTCCGTTGCAGAACCGTCTGCAGGCGGTGGCGCTCACTCCTCTCAAATCCCGACTTCCGCCGCAGCTTCCTTTCCCGTCACCGCTGTAGGAAACAAGATTTCCTACAGGTTGGGAATTGGGGAATTTAGCTAGATCAATTAGGGATTGATCCAACTAGGGATTAGGATTAGGGATTTGGAACAAGAAGAGGGAAGAATTTGGGGCTGCTGCTGCCGCAGCTTTGGAGGGGAAAAGAGAGAGGGAATCCGCAGGAGAGAGAGAGGAGAGAGAGTTAGGTTTTAGGGTTTTGGTTCTGTAATTGCTTAATCCCAAAATAAGACCCTATTACAGAATATATAACCTGTCTAATTCCTATCTGCTACCCGAATAATAAAACATAACAATTAACTACCTGTTTATTCCCCCAAATACCCAAATAATCCCCCAATCAATAAAAACCGACACTAATACGAAATAACCGAAAACAGCTAATAATTATGTTTCCCACATTCCCTCTTCCTTCGAAAAACAACCTTGTCCCCAAGGTTGTTCCTCCAGCTCACTAGGCATCTTCCTCTCCATTTCCATCATCCTCAGCCTCTTCTTCTGCTTCATCTTCCCAGCGCCCAACCAGCATCATCAAATCCGGCTTCGGGCACTGATGACCAATGGTGAATCGGCCATCACAGTTGAAGCACTTGCCCTCCCGCCTCTTTTGCTCAATCTCTGCCGGCGTCAGTCGCACGAATCCCTTCGGTATGGCCCGCGGCCCCACCCTGGCCACCGGAGCTGGTCCACCACCGCCCGCATTGGCCCCAGTCGAGCCCCCGGGTGCCCCTCCTGTGCCGCCACTAGGCATCTTCCTCTCCATTTCCATCATCCTCAGCCTCTTCTTCTGCTTCATCTTCCCAGCGCCCAACCAGCATCATCAAATCCGGCTTCGGGCACTGATGACCAATGGTGAATCGGCCATCACAGTTGAAGCACTTGCCCTCCCGCCTCTTTTGCTCAATCTCTGCCGGCGTCAGTCGCACGAATCCCTTCGGTATGGCCCGCGGCCCCACCCTGGCCACCGGAGCTGGTCCACCACCGCCCGCATTGGCCCCAGTCGAGCCCCCGGGTGCCCCTCCTGTGCCGCCACTAGCACTGCTGCTCCCTCCTCCTCCACTGGGCTTTGAAAAGCGGCCAATGGTGCTTCTCCAGCTAGCCAGTTCTTCCTCCTTATGACCTGCAAGACGAAAAGCAGTTTTCACAGAATCGGGCTCAAACACCCTGACTGCCGCTGCTATCTCGGGTTTGAGGCCCGCCATGCACAGCCCCACCAAGGTGTCCTCCGAGACCCCCTTGCACTGGTTCCCCAATTTGAAGAACTCCGCGCGGTACTCTGCCACTGTGCCGGTCTGCTTCAGCTTAGCCAACTGCTCAGGAGCCCACCCATCCGACTTCCCAAACTGATAACGGAGCTCCTCCTGAAACATGGGCCAGGTGATCAAGGTTGCTGCTGCTGCATATGATCGCTCCATCCACTCCCACCATTGGAGCGCATCGCCCTCCAGATAGAACGATGCCAGGTAGGCTTTCCTCTCCTCCGGAATTGGGTGGTTCTTAAACCACCTCTCAACTGCATACAACCAAAGACCTGCATCCTCCTGCCCATTGAATTTTGGAAACTCAATGGTAGGAGGCTTAGCTCGAAAAACTATCCCATCCATTCCCTCATAGTTTGGATACTGGGACCCATACCTGTCATTTCCTGGCGTCCTCCATGGCTGCCCCCACTGAGAACACTGCATCTGGTTAGGATTCCCCTGTCCATAGTCACCCGGATAGCAACCCGGCTGATTCGGGTATTCGCCTGGGACATGAGGCGCCTCATAATGGCCCTCTCCTCCTCCTGGACCCCTGCTGTCCGCCCTCCGGATCGGCTGGGTAGTTGGACTCGGTCGATGCCCGGTTCGACCTACCTCGGGTCGACCCATCCCGGTCCGCCCGGGTCCGGTTCGGCTCAACTCGGTCCGATCGACACTGGTCCGACCAATACCGGTCCGCTCCGGTTCGGTCCGCCCCCCTCCTGGCCCGTCCACCGGTCCCGGCCCAAAAGGAGCCGCCCCGCCTGGGCCCACCTGGTCGGCGGCCCTGCTCGGCCCACCCGCTCCCTTCTGATTCATCTCCTGTTCAGCCCACAGGGCCTGCTGGCCCGCCAAGCTTAGTTGGTCATACTCGAGCCCATATTCCTGGTCCAGCCATCCCAGCCCGTTATGGACCCTCGTATACTGGCCCATCTGTCCCGGCCCACCATTCATAGGAGGCCCATTTGCGTCATACCCAGCCATCTTAGCCTTTCCCTTTCGGGCCGCAATTTCTTGGGCCGTGGGTGTCGGTAACAGGCCCGAGCCCAGCCCCAATGGAGTCCGATCAGCCCTGCCCGGCCCGGTGTTCGCCACCCTGCTCCCCTCGGCCCCTCCACTCGGCGCGCCCGCCTGAGCCACCGCCGCCCTCGCCGCACCCGACCCGCCGCCGGCTCCGCCCCCGGCCCCTGCCGCCGCGGCCTTCGCCCCCGCCGGCGCCGCTAGCGCCGCCGCCGCGGTGCTCCCTCCGCCCGCCGACTCCTCCGCCGCGCCAGGTCCGCCGCCTCCCTCGTTCATCAACTCCTCCGGGTTCGGCGCCCTCTCTGGTCCGCTCCCCCTTGCCTGCAGCGAGGTAATTGCCCTCATCATATCCTCCAGCCTCTGACGCAGATCGTCAGCATCCTTCTTCGCATCAGCCTGCACTCTTGCCAGGCCTTCTTCGAGCCTGGCCAACGCCTCAGAGTGCTCGTGCACCACCTCCTTCACCGCCTCCAGCTCAGTGAGGTCCTCCATCACCACCTCATCGCGATCAACGCCGCCCGTCCCGGTGCTCTTCTCGGCTGCCTGCGCCTTCTCCTCCGCCGCCTTCATCGATTTCGTTGTCACCATCGTTGCCTTCCCTGGTTCAAGAGTTCAGATGAACTCACTCTCGAGCCAGGCTCTGATACCAGATGTAGGAAACAAGATTTCCTACAGGTTGGGAATTGGGGAATTTAGCTAGATCAATTAGGGATTGATCCAACTAGGGATTAGGATTAGGGATTTGGAACAAGAAGAGGGAAGAATTTGGGGCTGCTGCTGCCGCAGCTTTGGAGGGGAAAAGAGAGAGGGAATCCGCAGGAGAGAGAGAGGAGAGAGAGTTAGGTTTTAGGGTTTTGGTTCTGTAATTGCTTAATCCCAAAATAAGACCCTATTACAGAATATATAACCTGTCTAATTCCTATCTGCTACCCGAATAATAAAACATAACAATTAACTACCTGTTTATTCCCCCAAATACCCAAATAATCCCCCAATCAATAAAAACCGACACTAATACGAAATAACCGAAAACAGCTAATAATTATGTTTCCCACAACCGCCACCAGAGCGAATTACCTTGCGTCAAGCCACCGCTCGTGCTGTCGTCTCACGACGCTCCATCCGTCATGAACTTCCTCCCCGTGCCTGAAGACATACGACCCTACTTCTCGATTCTGAGTTCGTGCAGGGATTTGGTTCTATGCGGGTTCGACATCCCGAACGAGATCGCAAAAGATAAAAAACAGTTGAGGAGATTGTTCTTCGTCTGTAATCCGTTTACCAAGCAATGGATCGCCCTTCCTCTACTGCCCTACAAGCCTGTTGAAGTTCCGCATGAACAACATTCATCACCGACTGTGAGTTTGGTTTGTGGGTCTGAATCTGATGGCAACAACAAAGACGACCAAGTCTTTATCGATCGGTTTCGTGTCATCTATTTTGTTAGACTGTGGACTGGTAACCGTACTCCAAATGTGCACGTGTTCTGTTCGGAGTCTGGGGAATGGTCGAAAATGTTTCTTGGGGAATGGTCGAAAACGGTTCGTATTTCAACATTGTCTACACGGAAGGAGCAGATGGTCTGGTGCGATGACAAGTTGTATTGGCAGAGTGATCATCTCTTAAACATTGCTGCATGGGATCCTTTTCGCCTCGATAGACCCCCAGCGGATATCGGGGCTCCTGGTCGTGGTCGTCGAGCCCTAGTAACCGACGATCTTTGTGCCTCGCAAGGTGCCTTGCACACGGTTCGACTTTTCAGTCCGGGTTTTCCTGATCAGGGCGTCCACGTCTGTAGATGGAGCGAAAAGAACGGTCGCGAAACATGGAGGGACTATGCGAAGTGTCCTTGAGATCGTGCAAATATGTAGGACCCTGCCCCGAACATTTTACTCACTTGGAGGGCGTGTGTGGTCTGCATCCGAGTAACCCCGAAATCGTCTTCTTAGAGTTTGCTCATGCGAAGCTACGCACATTGCGTACTATGTTCTCGTTGAATATCAGGACGAAGGAGCTGACTGTCTTCGCTGATCGGATCACCGATACAGAGTGGTGGGTGTTCCACCCTAGGTTCGCCTGTTGGCCTAGTCCGATTCCGAGCTATGAGAAACTGCAGGGCGCCTACCGTGGAAGCTGCAAGTGGTTGGTTCAGAGCATCGAATCAACTCGGGCCCGAAAAACTGCTGGTAAGCTGTTTCTTGGTGTGTATTTCTCTGGTTTTCTTTCTACTTAGTGTGGTCTCTGATCCTATGTCTCTTGCTGGTTTATGTTCCTGGCTGGTTGAATCACTGACGACCAAAAAGTAGAATGTCAGTCGGTTGAGGGCGTCGAGCAACTGGGTCGATCAAGGAAGCACAACAGATCAGAGCCATCACCACAGTCCCTCGGCAGTCCGGTTAAGAAGCAGAAGATGGTGACAGACAGGAGCGATCAATTGGTTGATGTTGTTCATGCACTCCAGGCTATACCAGAGTTGGATGATCAACTGATGTTGGATGCCTGCGATCTTTTCGAAGACAATGGCGAGAAAGCAGCAGTGTTCTTAGCGTTGGATGGCAGAATCAGAAAGAAGTGGCTGCTAAGGAAGCTTCGTCCAAATGACTCGGTATGAAGAGGGATGTAATTTACCTATCGTAACAATTTGCTTTTTTCAATCCTCTGCATTCTGCACTAAATCACTCTAGCAGTACAAATTCATTTCCAAACCATCATTCATCTAAAGGCAAAGACCAAAGAAGCAAACTTTAAACCCACTCACACAAATGGCTTTACTTACTTTACTCCTTAGGATCAGAAAGAAGCAAGCTTTAATCGTACAGAACCATCTCCCTACGAAGTCGAGCAGCTATTTCCTCGCTACCCTTATCAAGGTGGCCGTGAATCAAAGCTTCGTAAACATCCTTCACAGGCCTCACACCGCGATCTTTCATAACCTTCAACACCCTCCCTGCTTCCTCTACTTTCCCACAGTTGCACAAGCTGCTGATAATGGAAGCGAAGCCCAATTCTCCTGGTGAAATAGCTCGATATTCCATCTCATAATACAGTTTCGCCACTTCCTCCACTTTACCATCTTTGGCATATGCAGCCATTAGCCTGGAGTAGGTGATCTCATTAGGAAAGAACCCCTTATCCATCATGGAAGTCAATATCTCATTAGCTTGATTCGTGTGAACAGGTTGTTCCATAACCTTGGCGAGCATCTCATTGAATACAGAAAGAGTCGGGAGATGGCCCATGCTCATCATCTCAGAACAATACTCGAGACTTTCTTCGACTCGTCCTGTCTTTGCACAACCGAGAATGATATGGTCGAACGTCTGGCTATACGGCTTCAACCCTGTGCTTTTCATTTCCCGGAGCAAGTTGATTGCATCCTCTACCCTTCCGGAGTGGCAGTAACCCTCGACGAACGAGGTATAACAGAATGAATTAGCATCGAACCCTCTCTTGAGCATTTCGTCATAAACCTCGCTTGCTGAACTTAGATCACCGAGCTTCACCTTGGCGTGAACGATCAACGAGAAAGCCACTGTATCTGTTATCATGTTCCTCTGCAACATCAATCTCAACAAACCCATTGCGACTTCGATTCTCCCTCCTTCTTCCTCCTCCAAAATCCTCAAAACCAAACCGGTACTAACAATCACCAACGGGGAGCAAGCCGCGCTTCTCTTGCCATGGATTTTATCCAACATTCCTATCATTTCCTGCAACTTCCCTTCTTTACATAACCCATGAATCATAGCTCGAATCCCTGCTTCATCAGGGTACATTCTCCTGGAAATCATGCGCTCATAAACTTTCCACAGCAGCTCAATCTCGTGAGATTTCAGAACAAAATGAAGCAGAGTATTGTAACTTATCAAGGTCAGAGAAAACCCACGGTCTTCCAAGTAACAACATACCTCGAACCCAATTTCCAGCATCCTCAGCTTCGCGTAGCCCTGAACCAGCAAGTTGAACACTAGCGGATTCGAGACTGTAACCCTGTAGCTATCGAGCAACGAGTCCACAACCTCAAATCTCGAGCCCTCATTCTCTGCTGCTCCACTTCGCTTCAACACTGATTCGAGCAAAGCCCGTGCATCAGTGACCAGCCGGGCTCCAACGAGGATGTGAACCATGATGCAGTAGGAGTGAACCCCATGGACGGTGTTCATAACCCTCTGAGCCGACCAGTGGAAAAACCCTAATGCCCGTTTCGCCTCCGGTGGTTCCCTTAGTTCCAGTAAAATTCCTCTGACCAGTGAATCGGTGAGGCCGACGGAGCCGAATTTTTCAGTGAGGGAGTCCCAATTGCAGCCGGCTCTCACTGAATTGCAGATTGATTCCACGACATTTTGATTTTGCTGCACGGAGTGGAGGAAGGCTGGCCGTAGAGACGGCAGAGGGCTGGGCAAAGATCGGGAAGTGGGGTTCCTGATTGCTGAGGATAGCATAGATGGGAGGAGTCTCCGGAGTGAACGCATTCTCTCCCACAACAGTCACGGCGCGTAATCATTAGCGTGGGTGAAGAAATCCTGGATAAAGATACCCTCGGAGGATCGCTGCTGAAGAGCCGGAGCGGCGAACGGCGGCGGAGCAGGTAGCTTCGCTCGCGAGATCCCAGCGATGGACAGATGGTACGAGGGCGCGACTGGGTATGGTGGCAACGGCGGAAGGACGGCCGCCGGGCGACGATGGAAGGTCGGAGGCGGCAATCGACTGCTCGTTTTCGTTTTTATAGTCCGATTCAATTTTCCATTTTCCTTTTCTCTGATCCCCTTGGTATGAAACGACGTAGTTTAAGGTTGAGAATTATGTTGTTTTGATCATCATGATTCATGAGTCCTGACCCAAATCGATTAAACCAAAACAGATCGGTATATCGCAGTTCGATTTTTTCGGTCGAACCAACAGAATTAGGGATTTAGGAAGTGGAGAACAAGAGAAGCGGATTAGACTGTCAAATTGTTCGAATGATAATCAATATTATGTCGCAAAACTAATCGACCTAACATAATCAAATAGCTAAAATACCCTTAAGCTGATAACTGGTTTCTTAATTGTTTAATCACCCAACACTAAACCCTCTATCAGCAGCATAATCCACAAACCCATACAAAGGCAGAACAGCCTCACCATACTTCTCAAACCCACCCAATTCCTTCTTAGCCTCATCTCTCAGCTCCTCAGCCTTCTCCATTGCCTTGTCGACTCCATAAACACCAACATAGCTCTTCCCACCTCTCCCCTTCTCCACAGCTCCATCCCCAGATTCCGATTTCGCCTTCAGGATATCATCCACAACCTGATACAGCACCCCAACAGCTCTCCCGTACCTCCTCAGCCTCTCGACCTCCTCGTCCTCCGCCCCAGCCAGCAGCCCACCACAGACCGCGGAGCACTGAGCCAGCTCGCCGAACTTCTTCTCCTGGATGAACTCAATGGCGCTGCTGCTGCTGTTGAGGTCGAGGAACTGGCCCGCTGCCATGCCTGTGGATCCCACGGTTCGAGCTATCTCTGCCACCACACGGAGGATGCGTGCCTCTGGGACGAGGTTTTTGGGTGTGTTGTTGACAATGTGGTGGAATCCGAGAGGGAAGAGCGCGTCTCCAGCAAGGATCGCCATGTCTACGCCATGCACCGTGTGGTTCGAGGGCTGGCCTCTGCGTGATGGGGCGTCGTCCATGCAGGGGAGGTCGTCGTGGATCAGGGAGGCTGCGTGAACCTGTTATGACAAGAAAATGAAGAGATGACATTGAACCAATTTTGATTGAGCAGGACAACCGTGGTTAAGCAAGTTCATTCATCAACACAAAGAAACCAACTTTTCTGAATTTGGGAATCATGGAACTGGTTCAACTACTGTGTAAATGCCAACAAATGCAAGCAAAGTACGTAAAAAGAGGAAACTTGAGATGAAAAATAGAACAAGAGTCTCTCTTTCTAATTCTTTCAATGACTCAAGTAAAGTTACTATAACCAATTCATTCTGCATATTTTATCAGAGCTCACTAGAACAGTTCTGGCAACCCCAATTGGGGGTAATGAAACACATTGTATGACAGATTGTGTACAATTCAAGCTCATATGCATATAAAGATTCATTCTTGAACGATCTCATCAACTCGAGTTATTGAAACGAATTCGGCGTCCTACCCACGAACAGAACAAATACTGAATGCAAATTACACACATCTATAACCTAGCTTATTCTCCAATCGGACTGCACTAAACCAAATTAAACGTGGAGACAGTGAGTAAAAAAGGGATTGAGCATGCACACACCATTTCGAGGGCACAAGCGGTAGGGAAAGCGGCGAGGCGATTGAGGCCGAAGAGCTCACAGGCGGCGACGCACATGACCGGCGGGGCGCGCTTGGCGCCTCCGGCGAGCGTGGAGTACCTCATGGCCTCGTAGATCTTCTCCGGGTACCGAATCGGGATCGCCTGGTCCAGCTTCTGGTTGATCTCCTTCCTCAGGGAGGTCCAATACGCCTGCAAATCGAACTGGGTCGAGTTGGATTCGATCGACACCGACGCCGATGAGGAAATTGAAAACCGAATCGGGAGTTTCCGCCGCAGTCCTGCCGCCGGCGATGGACGCAGCGAGAAAGGTACCGAAATCATGGCGGAGAAAGGCTTTTCCTTTTCCACTCTTCAGGAGTTCATTGAGGAGAGAGGAGAGCTCCGAGTCCGTCCGAGAGAGGTTTCTCTTCAGTGGCAGTTGGCTGGGAAGTGGGAAGTTGGAGCGGGGAATTGGAAATGATGACGTGGCTGTCACTGGGATTAGCCCATCAGCTACGTGGCGGTGGGGGATTGGGTGCAGGAAAGGGAAAGAAGACGGAGTGGGTGGGTCTGAGAACTGAGGGGTCGTTTGGTAGTTGTGATTCTTCAAATTGATGTATTAGTTCAATTAGTGTATTATTATTTGATGTATTGATTCAATGCATGTATTAGGAAAATACTTTGTTTGGAAGGGCAATGATGAAACAAAAAGTAGGGTAGACAATCCCTCGTTAACAATCTCACATTTTAGTAGAGATTTATAATCATTCATTTTGAGTGATTGTAGGTGGGCCCAACAAAAAGGTAATGCATGCATTCTAACTCAAAGTGAACCAAAAAAACGACTTAATCTTATCATTACATGTATTTGCTAAATAACTCACTTCAAATCTCAATCTCCAAACAACTCCTGAGAAATGATTAGGTGCGGGCTAATGATGGTAGGGAATTGTGGTGAGCTCGCCGCATTTGGATCCCTCTTATTGGGCCTTAAGTGTCTGGGACTGTGATACCTCGTAAGCCTATTTAATATTGGGCTTTTCTTCGCCGGCTCCTAAAACTTAAGTTTGGGCCTTCACTTATGTCTGTCTTGAACCAATAAGTTGATATCATTTCGGTAATCAGCGTAAAACGGTCCCATATATTTAATTTTTTTTTTGTACCAAATGGCTCTACAAGATTTGATTTTGTGCAATTGGATGATACTAATTTAAGATTATAACAAATGAATCACTTCCATTTCTTCCCAACAAAAACTTCGACCAAATTTTGTCTCGTCACTCGTGAGTATGTCATCTTATCAAAGAAACTCATAAGAACAGATACAAAATCCAATCAAAGATTTCGATAGAACCTAACATCCAAATTCTAAACCCACTTGACCTGAAAATAAAATCAATGTTCATAATTAACTCTCGATATGAGAGCCCAACATACCTCGTCCATAAATTAATTATTGATATCAAATGTGAATTCAGCTCTTCCCTACTAACTCGTGAGTGGTTGACACAACTTATAAATTTACGAAACATTAATAACCGATAAACCGATCGAAAACCAAACAAAAGATTGTCATTGATGACACAGATCACGAACCCATACAACAACAGGAAACTGAAATGAAACCCAAAACCTAAAACCCAACACATGGTTGCTAATTATTATCAATCGACCCAGAAAACCAAAACACCAGAACACATATCAAATGATTCCATTCAAGGGAAGGCTTGAATGACTGACAGGACAGTCTCAATGGGAGTGACGACGACTCTGGTGAACCCAGCTTGATCAAGAATGAACCGCCACTCTTTGAGAGTACTCCTTTCCTTGCCCAACGTCGTGTGAGCCATCATCACCATGTCCAGCATCAGCCTCACGTGCTCCAGCTCCTTCGGGTTCCCGTCTTCTTTATCACCATGATCGGCGACCACAGCATCGGCTATTATCAGCTTCCCGTTCTCCCTTCCTGCTATGGCATCTCTGCAGTTCTTCAGTATCCGGATGCAATCCTCGTCGTTCCAGTCATGGAGTACTAGCTGCATCCCCATGTAATGGCAAAGATGAAAGGTCAATCCTAGCTAGCTAGCTATAGCTAGCTCCCCTAAAGAAGTGAAAAAAAGTACTCAAAAGATATGGACAAATAGGTCGAACCGGACCGGGTGGGTTGGAGGGTTCACACATTTCAGGTAGTCGAGATGGCAATGGGACAAGATATGACGAGTATCTCAATGTTTATACGCGTCTTGCACTAAGTGTTGGTCAGATTGGATACGTAACACTGACACATATACAAGATGTGACAAGTCGATCAATTTGTACATGTTATTTGAAGAAGAGAGACATTATACTTTGATTATTTAACGAGACAATAAAATGAGAATGGAAAAACATAGATAATAGATTGAGTTATTGAGATCTTATTAAGGGGGAAGATGGAGTCTTGGCCTTATTAAAACTTCCATTAGTTAGGCTTTAAAATATGATTTACAAATAGTAAAAAATGGGGGAAAAGTAGATATAGAGATTGAGAAACGGCAGGGCTGGACAGACCAGAAATAGATATTTATGTCACGTCTCATATTATTACGAGTCAGGTGAACACTATAAAACAGGTTATGACATGTCGGGTTGCACGAATCAGATTATAAATTTTCATCTCTAATCTCAAGTAACATAGGTTGTTAATTAATAGAGACCACAAATAGGTCAGGTCGGGTAAAACACTACGACAATAAGGAAAGGAAAGCACTAACCATGATGAACACAACGTCAGCCGCCGGAACGCCCTCAAACATGTCGCCGCCGACATGCTCCACGCCGGGAGACTCAATCGCCACGGAGACCAGGGGCGTAGGCAGGAATTTTTGTAAGGTGGGTCGAATAGTAATATAGGTCTCAAAAAGCGAAAATAAGTAACCCGAATCAGATGACGAGAAACAGTCATATTCTTATTTTCACTATCAGGCCGCCAGCAACATCGTCTTCTAGTCAACCACCTATCCATTAACCACCAAGGAAACTCCGTCGATCCGGGAGAATGAAGAGGTGTAAGTCCCAATCATGCGTGCCTCTGCTTCTCCGATTTGATCTTACAGATATCTAGTTATGTTATTTCTAGGTTTTACAAAGAAAAGCTTTGAAGATCATAAGAAAAATGAGACTTTGATCAGAAAAGTCTGTCGTAATTGACTTCAATTGAGTTTTTATATGCAGTAAAGAGAAGCCAATGGACCACAAATTTAAACTCAAGCCCAAAAATCCAGGAGTACTCGTTTTTCTAGCAAGCCCATCAAAAAACAATGTGTTAAAGTGATATTTAAGCCCACTTTCACGTCAATTTACAACTACAACTAATTTAAAAACGCAGACGTTTTCATTAAACACATAAACAAGGTTCCCTTTATATATGTTTCGATCAAAGCAGCAGCTTATGCAAGGTTGGACCAAGAACAGAGTAAGAACACAGAATAAAATATGAAGAATTGAAAAACCAATTACTTGTTTGTGTGTTGCAAAGCCAAGGTGGTGCAGCCGACCCACCTTGGCCTGCTCTGGCTCCGCCCCTGACGGAGACAACGTGTGGGAGATCGAAGTTGATCCCTTTGATCCAAGGAAACCGCTTCACCAGCACGCTCAAAGTTGTCCCGTTCCCGCCGCCGACGTCCACCACGGTTCCGACCCCGTCCATCAACTCCGGCAGCGCTTGGAACATGGCCGGCAGAGTCCACCTCCCCATGCAGTTCATCGCGTCGTCGAAGAGCTTGCTGTGGCCCGGATTCGCCGCCGTGTACTCGAACAGCGGTATGCCGTGAGCTTGCTCGAACGGCGGCGGCGGCGGCTTCTCGCCGGCCGGTGGTGACCGGGCGGCGGAGCTGAGGTAGTGCCACGGTGCTAGCATCGCCGGACTGCTTTCCATGAGAAGGATATCGGTCACGGACTTGCCTGCACAAAATTTTTGTCGAGAATCGATTAGTATCAATAATTCGAGTGAATAGGAGATGTTCAACTATGAATTCTACACCGGAGAAGGAGATCGGTTAGGTTACGTACTTGCATACGTATAATTTTTTGTCATGAGCCCCGATTAGTCCTAATAAATCAGATATTCAATTATGAATTATATGCCGCATTTATACTAACGCACACTTCTTAAAACGAAAGCCAACGACGAACAAATTCTATTTCCTTAACTCGACCGAAGCATAGTAAGTAATACATATAAAATATGTAGTAACTATTTTAGAAAATTTAAATTTTATCAATTTAATTCATTAAATATGAATATTAAACATGTTATACGGGCTTTATGTACGTGCGTGTTTAGTACTGGAGTCTTCAAATAAACGGGGAAAATGATACAATCTATCAATAGTAGGAAGTTTTAAACACATAAAACACGTACATCCATATATGTGCCTATTAAACGGACTATTTACTAACCGATAGGAGAAAGAGAAGTTGAGCTAGTTGACCAACTTACCATCCTGCCGGAGAAGAAGCCGGCGGGAGAGGGCCGTCTGCGAGTACCCAACGTTCCCGCCGGCGGCGGGTACTTCCCGAAAAATGCGATGGTGGACCAGGAACCGCATGATTCGGGCCAGGTGGGCCGGATCGCAGCCCAAAGCAGACGAGAGTTGGACCAACGTCAAAGGCGACTCTCCTTTGCGGCCCTCGATGGCGTCGGCGATGCCGAGCTCCGCCGCGCACTTGACCACCGCCATCCTGGTGAAACCGAACACGTAGCTCCATATCTCGACTCCGGCCTCGGCTTCTTCGTCACTTGCTGATCTCGAATCACGATCGGCTCGGGATGTAGAACCCATTTTTGAACCAGCCGAATCGAACCGAATCAGGATCAGCTTGCTCTGATCAGGAGAGTGGGTTTGTTGTGTGTGTTTTTTTGTTGTGGTATGGTAACAGTCGTTAACTATACTTATAGATTGGAATGGATGGGATGGTGGGAATTAGAAAAATATTTTTAGAGGCGCGGTAGGTGAAAATGAGATGCGACTCTACAGTGTTTTTAATGTTACGAGTTACTTTACCAAAGTACGTTCAGGTGATGAACTGATTGGTAGGGTTCGACGAGTATCTCAAATTTCATATTCGTCTGTTTTTCGTGAATGTGAGGTTTGTTTTAGAAACATAAACTATACGGAGAATGTGTGAATTAGATTATTATTAAAGCAAGATTGTTTCTTCCAAAAGTTGGTCGATGTTGGGTCTGTTGGCTGTTAGAACTATAAAAGAACGATGAACGCAATTTTACCCTACTTCAAAATATGTAAGCACATCACGATTGTTAAGAAAATGCTACTTGTATTAAATATTTATATTCGGACACCTGAAAATCCAACTCTGCCACTATCAGGATTCTACTTTGTTTACTAGATTTATACTAAATCTGCCACTAGTTAGGATTCTGTTTTTTTGCCAGATTTAGCGTACATATTTGTTTTTAATGGGAATCTGGCAGATTTTGTGTGTATTATAATTATAAAGGAAATAATAATCGGATTCGCTTGTCGGCTAATCTCATTGGTACCACAAACTAATTATATAGTGTTGGGGGTATTACCCAGCGAGCTAGGAGATTGGGCTCCCCAAAGAAAGAGTTAGGGGGCAAAGCCCAAAAGGGTAAGAGCCAATATTCGCTAGTGGCCCACGAGCCCAAGAAAAAGGACCTCAAGAGTAAAGTACCAAGAGCCAGGTGGCGGCCAACCGGCTGGTGGACCACGGCCTGCGGGCGCCTGTCAGGTGTCAGGAGTCTGACAGGGCGGTTAGCTGTCTCACAGAGCACCAAAAGCCAGGTGGCGACCAGCTGGCTGGTGGACCACGACCTGCGGGCGCCTGTCGTGTGTCAGGGGCCTGACAGAGCTGTGGAATACCAGTCAGGTGTCAGGAGTCTGACAGGGCGGTTAGCTGTCTGAGGGCGCAGAGCATTAAATGAGGAAGGTGACGTGGCAAAGATCAACCTCGGGTTCGGTGAGTATAAATAGGGGCAGTCGACAGCATTTACGCAGGTTGGCTTCTCACACTAAAACCTGATTTTAGACTTCTCTCTCTAGACTCTGCTCTAACTTGGGCGTCGGAGTGCTAACGGGCATTACCCAGCCCCTTAGGCGCTTGTCCTTGCAGGTTCCAGGCGCCTTTACTGGGTTTGAAGGGGTTGAGATCGAGGAAGGTGTGATCGGAGGATCTTGGCACCAACAATTGGCGCGCCAGGAAGGGGACGAAACAAATGGAAAACTTGAACGTTGCGAACGACGGGGAAGATGTTTCGAGGTTGGACAATTCGAGCCACGAGGAAGGCGAGCGGCAACCGAGCCGAGAGATGAGCATGGAGGCAGAAGGGGAAGCGAGCCTTGGGCGCCTATCGGCGGAGGAAGGGGAGTCTCTGACGAAGAGAGAGCTATTCCGAATTATAGCCGACCAGGATCGAGCCATTGCGGCGCTCAGAAGGGAGTTGGATGGGGAGCGAAGTGAGGACGTACTGATGTATAGCCCGGGCGTCAGGAAACGAGAAAGGATGAGAGATGATTCGGAATCTTTGCAGCGCGGGCACCCGTACCAAGCTGACCAAGAACATGACGCACCAAGGCATTCACGCGCCTGGAGAATGCCTACCGAGCATAACCAGTTGGAGCCAGAAGACTTGTGGGCGCCTAGAAGAGTCGCCAAGCGGTTCGGGGTCAGGCAACCATTAGCACGAAGCATCCTAGTGGAACCCGCGGGAACCACAATTCCCCCGTTACCCAGTTACGATGGGGTGGCGGACCCGGAGGATCATTTGAACAGCTACTTCACGAAGATGCAACTGTACAACAGTTCAGACGCCACGTTATGCAAGGTGTTCCCATCCACGTTTGCGGGCGTAGTGTTAGATTGGTACCATCAAATCGAAGAGGGGCGCATCGAATGCTTTGAGCAGTTTGCGGAGTTATTCTTGTCCAAGTTTGCAAGTAGGAAGCGCCGGACACTAACCATAGGCGCATTGTTCAAGGTAAAGCAGAGGGAGGGGGAGGCACTTAGAGAATTTTACGACCGATGGATCTCTGTAGCCATGGCGGTCAAAGATGTCCAACCGGCGGTACTTGGAGTTTGCTTGGACGCCTGTACCTCGAGTGAAGAACTCTGTCGAGTCCTCTCCAAGCGGGATGTGGTGTCCACAGAAGACCTAGATCGAAGGGTGCAGAAGGTAATCATGTTGGAGGAGACGTTGGCGGCACGGAGAGCTGAGAAGAGGCGCCTGAGGGGAGATGAATTGGAGGTAAGGCAGGCGCCCCGAGTGCCCTCCGGGAATTATGGTCCGCAGAGAAGGTCTGAGGCACCTCACCCTGTGCCGAGAAGCTCAGCTAACTTTACTGAATACAATGATACATTAAAGAATGTCCTACAGTATGTGAAAGATAGGGGCTACCACATACGGTGGCCGGGGCCCATGCGCGGCCAACCAAACGAGAAGAACCTTGATAGGTATTGTGATTTTCATCGCGACAAGGGGCACTACACGACCGACTGCTACCAGCTTAAAGCCGAACTACAGGCGTTGGCCGACAAGGGCATGCTCAATGACTTTGTTAGGAGGGCGGAAGACAGGACTCACCGGACGTACGTGGCGAGGCAGGTGCCGGAGGCCCCGAGGAACTCAAGGGCGCATGAAATCCCAGGGACCCAAGAGGCGCCAGAAGGGCCAAAAACCCCGCAGGAGCCTCTGATACCACCCCCCCCCCCCCCCCCCCCCCCCCCCCGTTCGAATTGGACCAGGAGGGAGAGCCAAGTCGCGTCAGGCTCACGGTCGAATCCATAACCGGCACGGTAGACTTGAGGGAGAAGTTGGAAAGGTCTAGACGCCTGAGATCCGCTTCAATTGAAGCAAGGGAAGCCGTGCAAATCAACTTTAACCAAGAGCCGGACGAGGCATGCCAGATACCCTCGGAGGAAGCATTGGAGATACATGGGGTGATCGCAGGATGTAAAGTGAAAAGGATGTTAGTTGATACAGGCAGCTCAATGGATGTCCTGTTCAAGAGCACGTTTGAGAGCATGCAATTGGCGCCTGAGCTGGTGCGCCCATCGAGTTTGGTGTTAATTGGGTTTTCCGGTGCGCCTGCCCAGGTCATCGGGCGCGTACGCCTACCGGTGACCCTTGGAGATGAGACGCACTGTGTGACGCATGCAGTGGAATTTGGGATCGTAGACTGCCCATCGCCCTACAATGTGATACTTGGCCGTCCGCTTCTAGCACAATTCAATGGCGTGGCGTCCACTTGTCACCAGACGCTGAAGTTTGTAGCACCCCAGGGAATAGGCATTTCCAGGGGGAGAAATGTTCCCCGGTACGCCCGAGAAGAAGACCCAAGGAGCCGCGTTCGCAAGCATAGGGTCAACGCGGTCGACGTCCGCCTTGAAGAAGCGCCTAGGGCGGAAGCCTGGGACGACGAGCTTGTAGTAGCCTTGGACGAAGAGTACCCAGAGAGACAAGTGAGAATTTCGGCACAAGCCCCTGAAGTAATGAAGGCGCCTTTGATCGAACTACTGAGGGAATTTGGAGAGTTATTCGCGTGGAGCGCCCAAGATATGCCCGGCGTCTCTCCAGATGTGGCAGTGCACAGGCTGGCGGTGGAAGTAGGGAAAAAGCCTGTGCAACAGAAACGCAGAAACTTGTCTCAAGAAAAGGAGGAGGCGCTCCGCCGAGAGGTAGACAGATTGCTCGAAGCGGGATTTGTTGAAGAAGCAAGGTACATCACATGGCTGTCCAATGTGGTATTCGTCCCGAAACCGTCGGGGGATTGGAGGATGTGCGTGGACTTCACCAACCTCAATCGAGCATGCCCCACGGATGCATACCCCATGCCGCGCATCGACCTGCTTGTAGATGCCACCGCATATCATGAAGCTCTTAGTTTCCTTGACATGTTCTCGGGCTACCACCAAATCCCTATGGCCAAGGAGGATATGGCCAAGACTGCGTTCATGACACCCTTTGGGAACTTCTGCTACAGAGTGATGGCGTTTGGCTTGAAGAACGCCGGGGCAACATATCAACGCATGGTGAATCAGATTTTCCGCAAGCAAATAGGAAGGAACGTGGAGGCATACGTGGATGATTTGATTGTGAAGAGCAAGAGGCGCTTGGATCACATCATGGACTTGCGAGAAACATTCGAAGCCATGCGACGTTTCAGGTTGCGACTTAATCCCAAGAAGTGTGTGTTCTTGGCCGAAGCAGGAAAGTTCTTGGGATTCATGATAATAAGACGGGGAATTGAAGCTAATCCTCGGCAAGTTGAGGCGATCATGAGTCTGGGCCACCCCCGAACGCCTAAAGAGGTGCAAATCCTGACTGGGAGATTGGCGGCGCTTGGGCGCTTCATTCCCAGAGCCTCCGACCGGGGCGCTCCGTTCTTCAAGATATTAAAGAAAGCTTCCAAGTTCAAGTGGACCATTGAATGTGATGAGGCTTTTGAGGAGTTGAAAAGATTGCTCACGGCACCTACGGTGATGACGGCGCCCAAGGCCAATGAAGTGTTGTACCTATACATAGCTGTATCTATAATCGCAGTAAGTGCAGTCCTCATATCCAAAGACCCCCTGACGAATGAGGAGAAACCAGTGTATTATGTGAGCCGTACCATGGTGGGTCACGAGACGCGCTATGCGCCTATAGAGAAGGCGGCCTTGGCGGTCGTGATGGCGGCCAACAAGCTCCGACCTTACT